GTCACATGGGCCTCGCCCGTGATGCCTCGGACCTCGTCCGACCATGTCATTCTTGGCATGCAGCAACTGCTTCGTGACATGAGCAGTGCTCAGTGGGTTACGTGTCACTCCACGCGCATCACAAGGGCCTCGCCCTTGATGCCTCGGCCCTTTGGCCGACCATGCCACTCTTGGTATGCAGCGACAGCTCCGATATTTGAGCTGCGCTCAATGGGTTACGTGCCGCCCCATATTCAGCCCGTGAGCCACGCTCGGGACTCTTATCCAATACACCTTTGGTGTTTGACAACTCGGATACTCCGATTTCCATCACATTGACCGTCCCGGTCTAGTGCTCGCGCCAATAGCTCTTTTGCTTCCTAGCAGAGGTGGGTTCATGTCTCACCAACGCTTCACCAGGAAACGTGCGTGGAGCCCCCAAGGTCTTCGCCCTCCAATCGATTTATGGCTCATGATGTTCTAATTATGTCATACCAAGAATGAGATTATACCTTGAATCCGAATCTACGACTGAACAGCGTTCCACGCAATTGACGTCAGGAAACTGGACGCCGAGGTCCACAGGGACCCTGGGCACCGTGACGTAAGTCCCCGACGCCATGCGACAGTGGCGGTGGCACTCGACAGCGCTCTCAGCGCTTCAGCATACAGCCGACTCCTTGTATCGTGGAGCGACGAGCATAATTGCCCGATGTCCCGGAGTGGATAAAGACCTTCCATGGTCTTGCAAAGCCCTTCATGGTCACTTCCACGACCAGCAAGCCCAGCTTGCGAACACGTTCCGTGTTCAAGAGCACGGAGTTACTTTGGGGTTGAGCTCTGCCACCTTCTACCTCTTCAGGCTAAACAGATCTCTATTCTTCCCCTGTAAATGGCTCGCACCTACTAAAATGGAGGATGATACAGCCAATCTGGGGTTGAATGACGATGAGATTATAGCCTTGTTTCAGGAGGCGGAAGGAGAGGAGAATGACGATCAAGAAAACAAAGATGTGGAAAAGCAGTTAGTCACGAATCTGGAAAAGCTAAAGAGCCTAGCAATTACTGCTTCTTTGCTGAAGGTGACGAATCCCACAAATACAGTGGTTCTCTGGCGCATTCGAGAACTGCAGAAATCTCAAAACGACGGCGACAGTCCAGGCTACCATCAGTTTGTGGCTGGTTTCATATTAGTCCAGCATGATTGCTTGGCACTTCACTGTCTTGCACATTTACAAAATTCATGTTTATAAAAAATGGTAGTTAATGCAGTACCTAACGTCGCATTATGTCCATGTCACAGAAAGACCTGAAGGGTAGAGTTAGGCAAAGCGCTATATACTCGAGCAACTCATAGTTGTCTACTATTTTACCAGTTATGAGTTAGTACTTGGCTATATACAAATAAGCTTAGTGGAACAAACTTTCATTAGTTATACGAGATCATTAGTTACGTTATCCGAGGGACGACTGCATACTAATGCTGTGGAAATCATAATATGTTTCGTCGATGAAATCTAGCTCAAAAAGACTTTACTCCTTTCCGAAGCATATTTGTAGCATTAAATAAACAAGTGAACAAATTGTAAGCATTTGGCTCAGGTTAAAAAAACTAACGTGTCAAGCAAAACAGATGCATTGGTATAAAAAGCACAAGAAACTGAATTTCTTACGATAATACAATTATTCGGCAAACGTTAACTCAAAATTTAAGTCACGATGAGTCCTTTTAATAATCCAAGTATGCACAACGCAGTTTCCGCGTTGCGGCTTCCACGCAGACTGAAAAGCTGTCGATTTTAGCTCCAAGCACTGACAAAGTTACGACATCATATTCTTGTATATTTTTAAAATGAAATTGGAAGTTACAAATTTTGTTAATTACCTACCAACTACTGACCATAGACCGGTTATTGTATCAATTTTGTGTGTAGTAAATGCTCCGTGTGCTTGGTCAGCGTCTTCTGTCACGTGGAGACTTAGTCCACACTTCGCGCTTCTTCTACGCGTCAGTCACTGTACTTCACGGACAACAGTCTAATCATACGAACAATACCACGTACGCTGTATACAAAAAGCTGTGATTTGCAATAAATACACTAACGAAACTTCGATTAGGAATGTGAACATCAAATTTAAGCTACGTGACGACACTCTCAAGGAAGTGAAAGCCAAGACGGGTATGTCCATTTTGGACGTAGCACATGCCAATGATATTGATCTTGAGGGTGCATGCGAGTCATCTATGGCCTGTTCCACCTGTCACGTGATTCTTGAAGATTCCGTATTTGACAAGCTGGAAGAACCGTGTGAAGATGAAGAAGATATGTTGGACATGGCTTTTGGACTAACGGATACGTCCAGATTAGGGTGCCAAGTTGTCGTACAAGAAACATTTGAGGGTACAATCGTGACGCTTCCTAAAGCCACGCGCAACTTTTACGTCGACGGTCACGTCCCAAAGCCTCATTAAGAATTTGTAAATCGAAAAAGAAAAAGAATTTTGAACGCGTCTTCGACAATTCAATTTTGATTCAATGGGTAAACCTGATCGGTTCCCTCCTCGTTATACGCGACATAAATTAAAAGTCTTGACAGTCTAACATCGAGTGAAGTTTAACTTTAAAGCAGATTCGGAGATCTGCTGCTTGTTCACACCCATTTCGGTAGTACTTCTACTGTCGCTTGGTCCATTCTCGAGCTCAGGTTCGATCGAAATGGCGAGTTCTGTTGAAGGTTTATGAAGAATTGGCATAACAGGTGAGAAGCTGGAGCTTTCTGGAGTCGAGACAACACTTAAGGATGAGCTAGTGGGATCCTCAATATTGCTTTTAACGCCTAGTCCTGCTGTGTTGCAAACGTATTCGACAGCAGCATGGACGCAATAAACGTAATACGACTCCTCACCATTTGCATTATCTGCCGTGATCGCAAAGTTCTCAAGAAGATGCAGCTGAGCGTGAATAGTCGGCAGTCGACAGTGCACCAGCACGTATGCCAACAACGGAAAGAATGTTTCCACAGAAAATTGAGTCGTGCCTAACACAAGGGCAGCTTCGTGATGTAAAATTACGACGCCATGCATCAACTCATCTAGCAAATCGCACGGTACAATACTATGCATGCCATTGAAGGCCTCAATCGCACGAACTAGAAAAACCTGTCGTGGACTTAAACTTTTGTGACTTGATCCATTAATCTGATGGCTAGGCAGATTCAAACGGATCTTTTGAACCAATTCAAGGGACACGCCAAGGTTCTCCATGGGCAAACCGCTCATCTCATGGCACTTCTTGCGCCACATTTTATCTTTCCTCTGGCACTCCCTCATTGATTTTTGATTAAAGCAGAGAACACCAATGCGTGGGAAGACAGTGCGCTGAATAAACACATTTAAGCTCTTGCTCACATCGTTCGCAACATCAAATTCGCGACGCACGCGACTTGTCAGTCTTTCAAGAAAGTCAAGAATTTGTTCAGGAGATGGGTCTTCTGCCCAAGAAGGGTGCTGACGGTGGCTCTTGTGATGCATATAGTCCCCAACCGTAGAATTCGTCCTTGATTTATGACCTTTTCGATCGTTTCTCTCCAATTCTTCAAAACTCACGACTGCGACGTCTCTTGAAAGCTGATATATCCATTGACAGATACGTGAGTGCTTGGACGAAAAGATGAGATTCTCAAAGTGAGCCTGTGCAATCTCCCACCAATCAGCTTGACACATGAGCTTGTTGTAATCAGAATAAAAGTCTTCCCCAGCTAAGACATCAAAAATTGTATCCACCTGGACATCTGTCAGTCCAGAAGAAAGAGCGGACTCACCGTTCGATTCAAAATTTGATGTCACATTCACACAACTCGAAGCTGATTCTTCCCTTGCATTACGCTGCACTAATCGATACCAGCTCACAGCTTCTAACAGGTTTGACAGCATCATACTCTTGACATGAGTCTTCTCAAAACAATCATTGCCATTGTGTAGCTTTGCTTGAGCTGCAGCACGTCGTCGCTGAGTCAAACTAGCCAGCAACAACGTGTACTGCTGATTCAAGACACTGTATTTGATGTCATTGTCCAACATCGCGTCTGCTACTTCAAATGAGTCGAGTTGCCGCTCCGTGAGCTCAAGATCTGGATTGTGTTCGGTTACTATTTGCAAGATGCCACTCACATGTCGACGATGACGCTGGAGCTGATTTAAAGCTCGGTGCGACACAGCTATTCCCAATTCTTCAACCAGGAAAGCCATTCCGTCAGCTTGAGACGTTTCATCTGTCCGTATACCACAAATCAAGCTCCACATGGCGTTTGGAGTTGCCTTCGAACGCTTAACTCCTGCTTTCTGCTTTATTGCTTGTTGAATCTGATTCAAACGCATCTTTTCCTCTGCAATACGAGTGTCCATATCGTGTAGACTGTCTTGTAACTTTGCACGTAACCTTGCAGACGTCATAGACGAGTACGGACTATCAAGATTAAAAGAGAATGCAAAACCAAACGTTGCTCGATCTCCAACGTTCTGTGAGTTTTCCACACTTGATACTCTATCAATTCTATAACGAGGTTCTAAAGGTACTGGTACTAATGCTCCGTTGAGAGTTAAAGTATGGTGCATTCTATTCCAATGAGCGTATCCAGATCCACAATTGTCTTGGCCAGCACCCATAACAGTGTGGCGATCGTAAAGTAAATTTTCGGTCCCAATTCCTTCCTCACTTGTGTCCGTTGTACAGGAATAGGCAAACGACCCAAACGGTCGGCGAGTCACAAATTGATGGCCTTTGTCATCATCATCTGCGACTTTGTAACTGCAGCAATTCTCACCCAATGTCGTTGTGACTCTTGCGTTGACTGGTGAGCACATTATTTCGTCAAACGATGTAGTTCGGGCATGCCGTGTGTAGCCATAAAAATTCTCGATAATTGGATGCGTAACCCAATCTGGTATAACCCACACGGCAGGCGCACCCACATCCTCCTTCTCTCGCGATCGTAATCGCCGTCGTGTGGGTGGACTAATGTCACTCTTCTGCTGCTTTTCTTGCTGCTGCTTATCTTGCTGCTGTGTATGCATGTTGTCTAAACACATAATTTCTAAGCTGAAGCAAATGGACTTGTGTGGTAGAGTCGAACGTTGCGGATGTACAACGTCGTTGTTGACTGGTCGCACTGAAAAGATTGACTGAAATATTTGCCTGTCGAGACTTAAGAAGCTAATACTTTAAATCTTTTAGCGAGAGTAGACAATAGAACGTACGTTGGTGCTTTGCTTGACGCTCGATCGAAAGAGGGGGCACGACACCTTTCTTTGCTCATTAGGTGTTGTCAAGCAACACGGATTACGCTTTCACGCAACGTAAGAAATGATAAAGCAACGTAAAAGGAGGGTTACGGTATAGGATATAAGGACCATTTTCCTTAGGTCGATAAATTTTTTGGCTCGACAAAAAACTCTGGAAAAAAAAACCGAGAGACTAAAGTCTTCAGTAACTGTGGAAGCTTTTCAATCATGTTGTGAACGTCGAATGATGCAGTCCGCACTGCTTAAAGTGCGTATCTTATTCACTTCTTCAACGGCTAGATGTCTACAACAATCACATGAGACTATAAGTTCAAGCATAACAGTTTACACATGATGCTTTCTTTCCGTTTACAATTTGGCCTAAATTTTACTTGCATTGACCTGTGTACAGACAGGACTGTAACGCAGGTACCTGGCTACATCTGCGACAAATTTAATGTATTGTTTAAATTTGTATACTGCAATTGTGTAACCCTGATTACAACTAAATAAGTAGGGGGGGAACCATCCTACGAAGGTTACGCTTTTGAAGAAGGTGATAACTTGGGCAACGTCGTGCTCGCTTTAACTGCTACAAAAGCGACATCAAGACGCTTAGCATCATGAGTGACATGCGGTTATTTATATACCGTAATGAGGTTGGCTCTGAGGGAAAGGTTCGCGACAGAGAAGACAAATTTGCTAGGACCATGGACCTAATGCTTTTGTTTATTCTAGGTGATGAACCTTAAAAGTAAGGAAAGTATTGCGAAACTTAAAAAAGTTGCAAGCAAGAAGCTTGGTGTGCGTGCAAAGCGACTATTTCTAGCTAGTGGCGCTGAGATCTCGGACGTTGATGAGCTTCAGAACAACGATACACTCTATGTCTCGCAAGGCGAGGCTTTTTACAAATCACTTGGTACGCGTCTTGTTATTCCTTTTTATTAGATAGAAAAAAACTTGACAAAAGCATGTTATGAAAGGTCCTGTAAATGGACAAGAGACGCTCCACATGTCGGTGTTGGGCTCTGGTGGTGTAGGCAAAAGTGCATTGACGCTACGCTTTGTAAGAGATTATTTTGTCAAAGATTGGGATCCTACAATTGAAGATGCGTACAGAAAAGCAATCACAGTGGACGATGGATTATGTATGCTCGAAATACTAGACACTGCAGGACAAGATGTATGTCGTCGCGTGGTCCTGATTTTATCAATCACTTATATCTCGCTCCAAATTTTTAGGATTTTGAGTCATTACGAGGGCAATGGATGATGGACAAGGATGGGTATGTTTTTGTATATAGTATGGACTCGCGCATTTCGCTTCATGTAAGTACAAACGATGTATCATCATTGATGGATTGAATAAACTTATGATTTGATATTGTCTTGATAGGAATTACAACCATTTTTTGATCTCCACCTTCAAATTAACGAAAGTCGTCGTCCATTACCACCAATTATACTCGTGGCTAACAAGAAGGATGTGGTAGAGAATGATCCGACCAAGTGTCAAGTAAGCACAGAGGAAGGTCGACAAATAGCACAGTCATACAACGCGCGGTACATTGAAACAAGTGCATTGACAGGAGCAAATGTGACAGCGGTTTTTGAGATGTTTGTACGCGAAGTGCGTCGAAAAAAAGTGCCCAAGCAGAAGAAGAGTACGTGTTTTATTCTGTAGCGTTAGATATCAAACTAGTTACATCTTGGTATGAACGCCATTTCGAGACGACTGATAGCAAAAATAAGCATGAGACTCCCGAAGTACCAGCACTTTAGGCGATAGACAGTAAGTAGAGCTCAAGATGGTCAAGTACATGATAGCACACGAGCAAAATGGCCCGCTAATGTGAAAAAAATATTCTTACAACATGAAAGTTTACACAGAAATTTTATGCTACCATGTCAACATCTCATCGCCGAGGTATTGAGATATTCAAACAAAGTTTCTGGTTTGGAGATGGGCCGTTGATATCTTCACATTGTTTTTGAGACAGTAGGCGATGCATGTGGACTGAATCGATTGGGACAAAGCTTGGTATTTTACGCTAAATAGAAAGAGTTTTTTGGACCTTTACACGAATTTGAACAATCTTGACAAGGTCTAAAGTGAACCCAAAAAATACTGTCGAAGTATTTGTCGCTGACTATAATGGCCTAACTTTACCAGTAAATGTTCCAGTGGGGACAAATCTGGGGGATTTATTAAATGCCGCATCCGAAAAGCCCTCGGTTTTTTATGAAAAAGGAAGTTTACTCGGCTTTGAAGATGAAAATCTGCAGTTGGATCATCCTGTGACGGCAGCCGATGCAAGAAGATGGACGGCCGATGAACCACTCCGATTGAAATTCAAGGTAAGAACAAGCATCTATCAGTGTAACGTACCTATTGACATCTTATGTATTGTGGATAGAGAGACAATTCATGTTCAATCGTGTGAATGATATAGAGACCAAGCTATAGGAACGAAGTTTCAGAATTTACAGTAAAGCACAACGGATGGATTGTAGGTCTTCTTGTTGGTGCCGCCAATATTTGTTTTTACAATGTGGACAAAAGATTACGGACATTCAGGCTGTAGGAACAGTCACAATCTGCTTCTTGTTGTGGACAATACGTTCATGTCCCCTTAATTTCAAAATCCATTGACTGTGGGTGCTGATTGTCATGCACAGTATCACCAAGTACATTAATGGACACAGTGATGTCGTTGGAGGGCGGTCATCACCAATTCTGAAGACATCAACACGGTTGACGTTTTATTTAAAATGGTATCGGTGCCGTTCCCTCACCCTTTGACTGCTATATGGCACTTCGCGGTCTTACGACACTGCACATGCGTATGGCCACACATGCTAAGAATGCTAAAGTTTTTGCCGAGTACCTAAAGAAACATCCTGCCGTCGAAAAGGTTTGTTATCCGGGCCTTAAACCCACCCACAGCACGAGATTGCCAAGAAGCAGGCGTCTGGGTTCAGTGGTATGGTGACATTCTATGTACGTGGCGACCTCGGAAAAGCTCGTTCATTTCTCGAGAACCTTCAAGTCTTCACGTTGGCCAAAAGTTAGGATGCTGTTGAGTCGCTGGCCGAGTCTCCTGCTATCATGATCCACGCATCAGTCCCGGAAGAGTTGCGTAAGGATATCGGCATCTCTGATAGCTTCATTCATCTTTTTGTCGGAATCGAGGGCTCTCCCGATATTATTGCTAATTTAGACCGTGCGTTTAGCTGCTAAGCCCAAGGTTGAATCTTACTGAACTTGGAGCTACATACCATGAGCCTCATTGCCAATGTAGATACTCCTAATTGGCGCTCACTTGCCTGAACCTTCAAATCTGCCTGAGTACATACTCAATTTCTTTTGCCACTGTAGCTCGAATTCGACGAACGTCATCTTGCTCAACAGCAAGTTTTAGCCAGTAGAGTGCCTGCGAGAAGTATCCTTGGCCATGGATGTGTATTTGTCTCAATGCGTACATAGCTTGCGCACTCCCTAGATCCACGGCCTTTAAAAATTGTTCACGGACACGTTTAATGCTTTGATCAACGCCATGATCCTAAAGGAAGACTATTCCGAGGAAAAATGAAGCGTTTGGTACATGCTCGCAGCTTTATCGATATAATTTGGCTGCGTACTGAAAGTCTCGTGGACATCATATTAGAATTCAGTGTAAACCAAGTTTAAGTTATTTTTGCTTAATTTTACACTGCACATCACCTGTCAAATCGTATTACTCAAAATGAGTATGTGCATATTACCTGTAAATGTAGATTATGCAAGTGAAATTGTGAAAACGAGCAGAAGTTTTCTGCGGCATGAGGCGACTACAAATTAAAAAGCTAAGACACTAGATAAGGAGTGATGTCGATTGGATATCTGCCCTTGTAATTGCAACTTGAGAGCGAAAAAAATTGCAGTGTGAGTAATGGCAAGCACGATTTGCATGAGCGATTATTTACTGTAGACCGACCAGATAGTGACCACAACAGGCAGACTTTCCAGTGAGCAGGTCTTTGTGGTGACCAGACGAACGATGGGCGTAGCAGTAAATTTAACTTTTGACGAGCAAGATGAAATGATGTATAGTACCAGTTTTAGGATATGGGTTGATGGCCTTAGAACATAGAGGAAGATGATGTGACCAAGGACAAGAAGCCCAAGTGCACGAAGAAAATTTGCTGCAAGAAAAAATGCCAGCTGCATTGCAATGATCACTTGCAAAGGCGTGCATACTTCCGTTCGTTTATCGTGGATTTGAATCTTATAGGGTTCGACCGAAAAAGCACTAAACGACTATGAATAGAACTAGAAGTAGTACTCTCGCAACTTAAAGTCTTGTGTTAAATAATATCTAGCGTAAAATATAGGCTGAAAAACATATATCGCCTTTTTTATAACGAAGAATTCAGTAACATCTCGGTCACAGTCAATTATAAATAGTGTCGTCAGTTCTGAGGATTTGCCAAAGTCCTCTCGTGACATTCACATTAACTGGATAAGCTACTCAGCATAACAATTTACGGTTAAAAAAGCTTCTTTATATACACTGCCATTTTCTATGTATCACAATATTGCTATTCATATAAAAACATTACTGACTTTCTTTGCTAATTTTTGTTTACGGTGCTGCTCTATAAATGATGATATTCGATTTTGGTCAATTGCTCCTTTTATCACAGACGTCGGACAACTTGCGTATCAAATGATAACATTTAATATAGACAGAGACAGGAGTCCATTAATCTTTGTGTCAGGCAAAATATGCTTGGAAAACTCAATTTTTAGGTCTTTGAGGCTTTAATACAGTGCTGCCGTCCAGTTCAGCAAGGTGTATATTCGACAATAAGCGTTTCAGAAACTTAGCTTTATTGAAATAATTATACAATCCTAATGTGCATTCTTTGTACGTCCAAGTCAATTATACACCTTTTTGTTAATCCAATTCAACACGTAGTCGTGCTAATTTGAATCTACATGAGACAATGTACATTGCAAGCCTGGAATACTTTTTACTTCATCTCCTGACCGGCTCCAACGGAATTCAGCACAGTGACAATAGCCAGACAATCGACTATGCTGTTAAATTGAGCTTGTCTTCGTTTTGAAGTAGTCAATTAAGACTCACTTTCCAATTTTCCACGTTCTTCACATTCAAAAAACCACTTGTCAATTTACGATGCAGTTTGCTACCACAAAGTTCTTCGAGAAATCAATTTTAAGCCCATTACACCGCCGTCAAACTTTGGGGTTAATTAAGCGTCAACACTTCGCCTCAACTGCCAATATCGCGAGTCAGCGTGGGTTAAACGAGACGACGCCATCCACTGAAAAGGCGAATTTTCCAAAGCCAACAAACATCACAAACGAGCCCGCCTACATTCCTCACTTCAAACAAACTCGTTGTACCACGAGTGAAAATGGGGAACCAATTTGGGAACACCCGATCGACCGCGCTGTGTATGACCTCAAAAAGATTTCCTCGATCGAAATTACTCATCATCCGATCAAAAAAATGCACGAGCGTGTCGCGTATTTGGCTGTAAAGGCGCTTCGCACAAGTTTCGACATACTCTCGGGTTACCGTGGACCAGGTGGTGCCATGACCGAGAAAGACTGGCTGAACCGTTGCCTCTTTCTCGAATCCGTTGCAGGTGTACCTGGTATGGTAGGCGGTATGTTACGGCACTTGCGCTCACTGCGCAAATTCAAGCGCGACTATGGCTGGATTCACACGTTATTGGAGGAAGCTGAAAATGAGCGCATGCATCTACTTATCTTTATGAACATTAAACAACCTGGCTACATCTTTCGCACTTTGGTCTTGGGTGCTCAAGGTGTGTTTTTCAATGGATTTTTCCTCACTTACTTAATGTCACCCAAGACATGTCACCGATTCGTGGGGTATCTTGAGGAAGAAGCCGTCAAGACTTACACGTGTCTGCTCAAAGAGATCGAAGATGGTCATCTGGAAGAATGGAAAACGAAAAAAGCACCACTGATTGCACAGACGTATTATAAATTACCTGAAACCGCGTCTTTGTATGACATGGTCAAGTGCGTCCGTGCAGACGAATGTAGCCATCGCGATGTGAACCATGCGTTTGCAGACCTGGACCAGAAGAAGGGTATTAGTCCATTTGTTCAGAATCAGTAGGACTGCTGTTAGACAACTTGGGAACTTTATGGATCGCATATAAAATCTAAATTGACAATTTTTTAACGAAATCGTTCTTTGAAAATTGAAGCTAAGCGAATAGTTACAAAACATTGTCATGTCAGATTGCCAGGTTTTTGTAGATGATAGCATGTAGCATCGACTGTTCTTCCATCTCGAGCTTTGGTGAAGATGCAAATTCAAACGTGGTGTTGTCTCGACGCTCTTTTGTTGACCTTCGGTGAATCTGATCGCATTTAAACATTCAAGCACAATTACTACAGATATTAAAATTTAAACTTTAAAATTTCTCCCATATATGGATAAGGTAGAAATTAGAATCACTTCTTTAAGGTAGCGGCATAGATGATTCTATAGGGTCCAGAGACACATAGGACCAAAATTTGAATGAGCTAGTCTATATTACGTCACTGATATATATGTTTGATCGCCTATCATTATTAATCCTGTGTAATGTCTTGTGGGAGGTTAGCAATTCAAGTGTCTGACGGAATTTTGCTGTTGTCATACCATTAGTCTGATTGAGTACCTGCGACCAGATCACTGTACTTTACTTTTTACGGAAGTTATAATGATACCCATCACAGTTTTGGTTCCAAAACTTTTGAATCTCGAACTATGTTGGAAGTTCTGTGGTGTTTTGTGTACGTACACCGTAATGGTGTACGTTCCTCGTTAGACCACATCGTGAATTCTATGGGGTCACAACCCAGCCTTGCACAAAGACTTTTCCCAAGACCTGCAGCAAAAACTCCAGTGCCAGCTGTAAGAGCATAATCACACAAAACACCCCTCCCTTTGATTACAAACTTAAGCGCCACACAACAGGATCAGCTTAAATAGACGAGGGTTTTATGGCCGATGCCATGGTCGCCTGACTAAGTGGGAAAGGTGGGATGAAAACAATCAAGCTAAATCACCAAGTTCCAACTTTTTACCACCGCTCGGCTTCGCGGTCTCCCGAAACGATGCTTTATGTTTGCTTTCCTCGCATAAAAGCCTTCTGAGGCTGACGTCTCCAACACTCGCTTCTCGCGCGAGATGCCTACGTTGTATGCCCCCTTCTTCCCGAAGCAGAGAGCGAATCGAATCTCGCAAAGAGGTTGACAAAGAAATGGTGTGGTTTCGAGTGTTTTTGCCCAGCTTCATAGCTCAAATTGCTTAAAACTAGCGTTTAGGCCACAGAGATCGTCAATAAAGACGCTACTTTAGCATCGAGCTTATGGCTTTGATCAACTTGACTCGATATACCGCTCGGCGCGCCACAGTACGATCCTTCAACACTTATTTGAAAGTGTATGTAGCTATGTCTGAGAGTGAAACTCGTACGCAAGATTTGCTTCGTGGGCACCTTCTGACTCCACAGATTATGACCCCTCAAGGGGATTGCTTACGGCTAGATCAGCAGTAGCAGCGTTAGACGATGCTCTGTACCTTAATAGTTGCGGTCTGATTACAGTGTCAGGGGGCTGTATGGCCCGACGCAAGCGTTGGGTAGAGAAAACCCGCTGCCTAACTAAAATTACTTGTGCCAAAAGATTATCAGTCACAATCTGGTAGCTACAGGAGCGCTTTGATCTGCATAACTTTGCCGCTTTTGCAGAGGAAGTGATTAAACCACTTCAGTTGCCTCTGGCCAATCATTCCTTTTGTACACACGATCGATGCCATGATAAGATGCGCAACAATACTGTCAAAGAGATTTTACGGACTTTGTTAAAGACTGTGAAACAGATTTTATGGGCTTTGCCAAATCTCAGAGGCTTATGTATATCCGACTTTTCTTCTAACTTGGTACATGATGATTCACCTATGTGAGAAATAAATATCAATTTTTTACGATATGTAGATGTCCTGACAATGCTAACCCACCAATACCAAAAGAATGTGCGGGATAAATCAGACCATAGACGGAACCCGAATTGAAATTAATCGTTTCACGCGCACTCGTTGAGTGGTTGCTCTTGTGTCACTTACGCGCTCGCTATATGTATATGATTATGAGGATATCGCTGGCTGCAGGCATATCCAACTGAGTGCAAGATAAAGAAGTAAGGTCGACAAAATTTTGCAGTACAATAAAAATATCGCTGCGAGACAATTTCCACTGGTAAGTCAAGTTGGCGGAGAGATAATGAAGTCTTCTAGGTAAGTGATCAGTTTAATTACAATTAGCTAGCTATTAAGCAGGCTAATAAACTCGTTTTGATCCCAGCTGTAGATAATGGCGCTAGAAGTCCTCTGCACGGCAAGACTATCGGCTGAGCTGTTTAGTAAAATCGCTAAAATGGTAATCATGTAAGACTGCTGCTATATTTCATGGCATTTACAACACCAGTGTGATCCGAATCTAAGTCGTATTTGATTCTATGGTCGTTCATGGACTATTGCAAAGCGGCAATGCTAAAGTGATCAAAATCAATATTGCTGCATTGAGTCCTGATATCCTCATTTTAGTGCTCTCATTTAGCTGGAATTAAACGTGATGTGGTGCTCCTGTTTCTCTGCTCTGCTTATTTCTATATTGTTGACCAGTAGCTAAGGCTAGCTTTACGCTCAGGCCAGCTGCATCACCAGCTACATTATGAATAGAAATAAGTTTTGCTCTGTTGTGTCATCATCTGTAATAGTTACGCCGAGAGCAGCGTAAAATCCATTTTCTTAGACACCAACACTGTTATCGACGGCGGCGTTAAAAGGTAAAATGAAAATTTTGTTCAGAGACTAGCAGGGCTCAGTTGAATCCGGCAAGCTGGTTGAATACACCGGAGCATTCGGAAGGTTTTTATTATTTCATGCCAGCGCTTTACCATTTGTACCTGATGTGCCACAACTATATTATGCTTGCTGAGGTGTAAGACTTTAGTCGACCGAGATTCCCTGCAAGAGAAGATGCCTTATATATAATCTTGTATTTGAGGTCCTTCTCATGAGATATTACTACACGTTGTATATCAAGCGGATACTTGCTGTGATATAGCAAATTATCAGGCCAGTGTCATTTCAGACGCTTTGACAAACAGTATAGCTGAACTCACAAGTTTTCGCTGCCCAGAACTTTAAGTAGCACAGCAAATTTGAGTATGCCTCGCACGCCTTAGCCAATGTATGTATTGACGCCATTGGGGTGACACGAATTTGCTTCAAAAACTTATCTAAAGTATCCGGGCTTCAAAAGTATATTCGAGCAAGTTTGCAAGACAGCCACGCATTTGTGACGGCTTGAACTCAGGCATAGTTCATGGTAGTAGGCAACAAGTTATGTCGACACGAATCGGTTGATTTGGTCCAGATGGGCCTGAATAGGTGCGCATAGAACGCTCTGCCAGTCAAATGACCGCCATTTCCGTTGAGCCCGATTTCTTACAAGGATGACGTAGAGTGCTGTGCTATGTCGACGAAATTTGCTCTCAGTTGTGCAAATAGTTGTCAGTCCAAGCAAATTCCGTAAATCCTCAGGGTTAGCGGTACTCGCTAAGTCACAAAGGCTCTGAAGTTTAACTCATTGAAAACTAGCACTCATGATGATATCTTTTCTGCGCAAAATCACATTGTCGACGTTGGTAGACATCATATTAAAGTGCGTACACTCGAGCACTGCTCGCAAGGGTCCGAAATGGATGTCAACAGCATTATCCATGTTGTTTAACGTTATGGACGAGTATGTCATCAAAATAGATCGACGCATAGACAATATGCAGTGTAAGTAGTTGGGTCACTGGACGAATGAATGACACAGGTGTATTTTACGCGTTTGAGGCAGATCTTAGAGTATCCTTGGCTTGGAATTTTGATTGTATAAAGCTAACTGAAAAAATCTACAATTTCCATTTGCATTGACATGCTGAATGGGGAGAGTTACCCCCTACCTATTACAAATTTCACTTTGTAGTTTGCACGATAGGAAGTATTAACGACGACGCAGCGCTCCTTCAATTAAAATCATGTGGCTGGCAGTATTTAGTATCAGTAGTCAGGTCAATCCGGGAAAAGCACTCTCTTGTCAGTATTTCGCGGTACTCCGCCGACATATGAAGAATGGTAGAACTTGAGCATCGCTGGCCCGTTCCTCATCCTCCGCGCTCTTCGGGTACTTAAATGTTAGACTCAACTATAACGGACCAAAATCTCCAGAATGATCTCACCATCTCAATTCCTTGCACGCAAGGCTTCTCAATCTCAAAACGAGCTTTTTTATAGAAATTATACCACTTTTGCCTTTCATTTACGAGATTACAACGGTCGCATCAGACCCGCGGAGCTTCAGTACTTGATTTACACAGTGTTCAGTTGTCAGCTAAGCTGCTCAGTCACACTGTGACATGGATGTGCCGCCCTAAGTAACATCTAGACCTCGCCACACGCAGATTGCTCTGGTCTCTTCAAATCGACTTTTCGGAAGACTGCAGCCCTACGCCACCGTGACACTTCTCGACACAGGAATCCCCGGAAAACGCGAGCACAAAGCTATCCCTGTCATCCAAGATTTCTCAAATAATATTGCTGGCTGCAAACTATCCCTGAAAACCTCATGCATTGCGCTAAGTGTCGCTGCTTCGTGCAAAGGCCACGAGCTCTGCTTTCTAGCCGAGATGCGACCATAAATCACCAAAGCTCTCTCAACTTTTTGTAAAAGCCAAATTGACCTTGTTCTTGAAGTAAGGTCAGCTTCATAACCACCATTTTGATATAGGGACAATACTCGTGATGGGTCTGCTAGAACAACAAACTATTTACCTTTAAAAAATATATGATGTTCCTTAGATCTTCAAGCAGGAACGATCCGCCCTCTGCATTAAGCTTTTGGAGTGTCCCGGTGAAGGACTCACGCATATAATAGGATGATCAAAGCTCGGTTTCTTAAACTATCGATATCAACTCAAATATTTAATCGCCATTTAACATCTTGCTGCTATTATGTAGTATTCATTTCTTAACAAGCTTCTCATGCTGGAAGACTGACACGTCTTTTCAACGAA